TGTGGGGGCGAGGATTGAGGGTGCGGCGCCGCTACCGACTGAGCTACGCGTGAAAAGGAAAAATGTTAGCCAGATTGCATACATAAAGGCGCGGACGACAGCTGTACGCAGAGTGGCATTAAGAGTTGTACACTGTCACGGTAGAATACATACTCTGGCCCCGAAAATCCCCAGTAAAATCTCCTGTCCCCCCCCCCCACCATTAAAAACACCTAAATTTCAAGGATTTTTCAGCCAGATTTCGAATTCTCGAAATTCAAATTTTTCCAGCGAATGGTGTGCCGAACGAATCGCCGACAACCGTCAACATTTGTACTTTTATCAGCCGGAACGCGATTTTCGAAGGTAAATTCATTTTATTTTTATTTAAAAAAATGTAATTTTTTTACAAAAAAATGACACAGAAAAATGGAAAAATCGATATTTACAGATTTCTATTCGAGGCTAGCAAATCGTTCGAGCTGGTCAACGACGATAAAGAGTTGGAGGGCGAGGTTGAGGTGAGAGAAAAAAGAGCAATCCATTGGACTAGCCAGGAAATTTGAGCTTTTTTGAGGTTCTAGGCGATATTATATTATTTTTTAGATTGAAAAACGCCAAAAAATCGTATAAAATAGCCAGGAAAAAGCCAAATTTTCAAATTACCGCCAAAGTTCAATAGAGCGTAATTGCATTTTCAAAAAATCTTCATAAAAAATAAGGAATTCCAGATAAAAGGACACTTGGACGGTCCATTGATCACCGTGTTCAACAAAGATCGTTTGTACAAAGCGACATCATAAATGATTACAAGAAGAAGAAGAGGATCTGTATCATTGCTCAGCACTATTTTATCCATTTTTTAAAAATTGTATTGTGTTCTTGTTAGGTTCTGCTGTTCAATTGTGTTTTTTTTTCAAAAATTTGAATTTTGTTTTTTTAATTTTTTGAATTTCGCGCCAAGAAATCTCTACAAATAGGTGACAAGAGGGGACGATGGGTTCAGCATACAGTCGCAACACGTCCGGACGTCGATTTGGCTCATTTGCCAGCGAGCGCACTCGCGAGTCCCGATGTTTCGAAGGACCTGGAAAGTTTGAAATTTTTCTAAAAATTCTTTAAAAATCGAGTTAAAATATCGATTTCTATTGGAAAAAATTCCAAACAAGGTCCCAAAGCGAAAACTACCGTAACCTAAAATTTTTCATTTTTGAAAAAAAAGTTTTTTGGTTACTGTAGTTTGGGAGCTTAGAAAAAGCGAAAATAATGTTTTAAAAATTAGATTTTTTCTCGAAAAAGGCCCTATGACGAATACTACAGTAACCTAAAAATTTTAAATTTCAGAAAAAGTTTTTTTTCAAGAAAAGTTGAAAAATCGAAAACTACCGTAACCCGGGAATATTTTAAAATTTAATTTAAAAAAAAATTTTTTTCGCTGAAAACAGAGAAATCGAAAAAAAGGTCCCAAAACGAAAACTACCGAATTAAATCTGAGAAAATTATTTTTGGAATTTTTTTTGCGAAAAATAAAAAAATGAATTTTCTCAGATTACGGTAGTTTTCGTGCTGGGACTTTTTTTCGATTTCCCTGTTTTTAGCCAAAAAAAATTAAATTTTAAAATATTTCCGGGTTACGGTAGTTTTCGATTTTTCAACTTTTCTTGGAAAAAAGTTTTTTTTCTTAAAATTTAAATTTTACTGTAGTTTACGCTATGTGACCTTCTGAGAGAATGCATTTTTTTGATTTTTTCTTTTAAAATCCCAAAAAATTTTTTTTAATTTTTCTGGTTACGGTAGTTTTCGTTTTGAGACCTTTTCCAACTCACCTTCATCGGCATCACCCGCTGAATGCACTTTCCCTCGCCGCGCAGACACGCCTTCTGTGAACAAATGAGCTCATTGATGACACGTGGAAAGTAGATGGACGGCAGGTGACGGACCGCCCGACAAGTAGTACACAGTGAGTAGCCACCACTGTTGAATTCCCCATTCTCATCGTCACATTCAACGGCTACTGTCATTCCTGCAAACGCGGGAATTTGAATTTTTCATAATTGTTTTTTCGATTTTTGCTATTTTAATTTAAAAAAAAAACTACGAAAATTGCGCGCTTCGGCGGAGCGCATTTGCGCGGCAATTTTTTTCAAAAATCGATATTGTCAGGTAAACGATTCGGAATTAGATCTGAGTTCATTCGGAATTAGACCTAATAACTCGAAATTCTGAATTAGATCTGAGTTCATTCGGAATTAGATCTGAACTAGATCTAATACCGAAGTTGCCACGAGAAATGCGCCATCAATGACTCAGCTGCCGCGGATGAATTGTTTTGTTTTTTTTGTTTTCCTAAATTTTTTTCGTCAGGAAAATGGGTTTTTCTCTCAACTTTTGCCTTTTTTTTCGCTCAATTATTTAAACTATATTTTCTGGAACATATTTTAATGTGTTGTGCACGTTTTTGCAAAATTTTAGGTGAATTTTTTTAGGAACAGCTGAATATTCAAAGTTCAATTTATATATACGACTTCTATAGAAGACAGTAATTCTATGAATCGACAAAAATACGACGATTTTGAAGATTTTAAATTCAGAGAAAACTCTGCAGGTAAGATAATTTTTACCTTTTTCAGCTTAAAGGATTACGTAAAAACGATGCAAGGGATCACCGAAAAAACAAGAAAAAAAGAGATGATAAATTGCGCTGATAGTGAGCTCAATTTACACAAGTCCAGAAGGCCTCACTTTTGGAAGCCGTGTCTTGAGTTTATTATCGATATCACAAAGCCAAAAACTTCTTTTTTTTCAGTTAAATTAACATTCATTTCATAAAGAATATCCATCTTGTCTACAACCGGAAACTATGACAAGAGAATTTTCAAAATCGAAAATCGAAAAATTGTTCTGTTTTCTTTTTTAATAAATTTTATTATAAATAAAGTGAATGGCGTTGAAAGGAAAACAAAATTTGAAAAGCGCTCGCTACGATGCTCCGAAATCCCGCTGGTCTGTTCGGAATTAGATCTAATTCGTTCGTAGTTCATTCGGTGTTCGTTCGGAATTAGATCAGCTAAATTCTGTATGAACTGGAAAATCGATTTTCGTTGATTCGCTCGAAATGACTGTTTTTTTTGTCTGAAATTTCGTTTTCTAGCTTGAAAATCCTTTAAATGCGATAAAAATAGATTTCCGGTGCAAAATTTCACAAAAATTTGAATTTCGCGCCGCGCATTCGCGCTCCACTGAACACATTTGAATTTTCGCCGAGAACTCGTTGGAAATCGCCGATTTTTTCGCTGTTTTTTCCCGATAAATATAGCAAAATTTTTTGAAAAAAAAAGCTAAAAATTGTAAATCGAAAAAATCGATAATCGATTTTTCCCCCCAATAACTCACCTAGAATGTGTCTCGATGTGCCGGTATTCCTCATTAGCAAACTATTATGACTATTGCTCGTTCCATCCTCATTATCTCTCCAATCAGCGCCACGGGCTCTCCGGCGACCTTCTTCCCATTCATCCTCATCCCACCAGGCACGTTCCGCCTCAGCCGGCTGCCCGGTTTTTATGATTTTTCGAATTAGTTGACTCGATCTGGAATTTGGAGCATTCTGTGAGAAAAACCAGGTTTCTAGCTTATCTGAGAGCCGAGATATGGTCGTTTTAAGTTAAGGAAGTTAGAGACGCAGACAACGAGACACTCTAACTGTCTGCGTCTCTCATAACTTAGCTAAAGACTAGAATCTTGAGATCCTAGATTTCAGTTCAAAAACCAATTTTCTAGCTTTACTAGGAGCCAAGATATAGCTATTTTAAGTTAAGGAAGCTAGAGACGCAGACAACAAGACACACTAGTTGTCTGCGTCTCTTCAATCGACCGTATCTCAGGGCCTCAAAAGTGTTAGAGACCTGAATTTTTTTGGAAAGTATTTGAATTGCTAAATGCTACATTTGAGTTCAACCACCAGTTTTCTAGCTTGATTAGGAGCCAAGATATAGCTATTTGAAGTTAAGAAAGCTGGAGACGCAGACAACGAGACACTCTAACTGTCTGCGTCTCTTCAATCGACCGTATCTCGGCTCCCAGGTGTGCCGTATTTGGAATACTTGCTCTTTGAGCTCAATTATCTTGGCTTCTGTAAGAGATATCAAAAAATCGTCAACTAAGAAAATGTAGCTTATATTATGCTGATTATTTTATCAGTTGATTACTTTTTGATATCTTTTACAGGAATCGAGATAAATGAGCTCAAAGTTAGTCGGTAATTTTTACATCCCATCTCAAAATGGATCTATTTTCAGGTAAATTATACTAATTGATAGGAAAATTTTAGCAGAGGATTTGATTATTTCTATTCAAGCTTTCAAGCCAAAAAAAACACTTGAAATGTTAGGTTCCGTCCTGGCTACGAACTTGAGTGAAAGTTGGGTGCTCTTCAGTTACAAGCTTCATTGATGTCGTTGAGCTTTGAGCTCATTTATCTTAGATCCTGAAAGAGATATCAAAAAGTGGTAAACTAACAAAATGTTGCTTATTTTATGTTGATTATTTTATCAGTTGATCACTTTTTGATATCTCTCATAACAATCAAGATAAACAAGCTCAAAACAAGCACCGCTACTGGCAACGCGGGAGACGCCGTTATCTGTGCTACCGCCATACTTGCACTTTGACCCTGTTTATCTCGGTTACGGTAACAGCTAACAAAAAATAATCACAATACAAAATATTGCTTATTTTATGCTGATTATTTTATCAGTTGACCATTTTTTGATATCTCTCATAGAAACCGAGATAAATTGGGTAGAAGTTAGAGGCTCAAGGTCAAAGAAAAACATCGATCTTCTTCTAACTTTGGTAAAATTTATCTCGGTTACTTTAAGAGCTACCAAAAAATGATTAACTAACAAAATGTTGCTTATCTCATGCTAATTACGTTATCAGTTGATCACTTTTTGACATCTCTTGTAGAAACCGAGATAGACCGTTTAGATCAACCCTACCTCTGACACCTCTTTCCACAGTGATAATCAGTTGGGGGCTTGTGCGCCAAACCCCTCAAATCTGGAAATTCGTTTCGCGCCGTTGAGAAATCCTTGGCCATATAGATGCGATTGTATCCGGCCGTGTCACGAAGGCGTCGTGTCAGGTCTAGTGGATGTGACGATTCGCATGGATCTTTGGTTGTCGTCGTGGTGGTTGTGGGCGTTCTGGAAGATTCTTTTGTATTCTGAAGACGTCAAACTTCTTGGGTTGTATTCTGGGATGATGTCAGATAGCTAGCTACAACTTTAGAATCATTTGGATTCTGAAGTTGTAGCCGAAGGCGTCAGATGAAGACGTCAGCTAGTCATGCGTACCCTCCAGATACTCCAAATGTGATGTTATCATAATGGCACTTTGATTTTTGAAGTTTTTGAAATCTTTCTAGCCATATTAGATTCTTAGATTCTTAGATTCTTAGATTCTTAGATTCTTAGATTCTTAGATTCTTAGATTCTTAGATTCTTAGATTCTTAGATTCTTAGATTCTTAGATTCTTAGATTCTTAGATTCTTAGATTCTTAGATTCTTAGATTCTTAGATTCTTAGATTCTTAGATTCTTAGATTCTTAGATTCTTAGATTCTTAGATTCTTAGATTCTTAGATTCTTAGATTCTTAGATTCTTAGATTCTTAGATTCTTAGATTCTTAGATTCTTAGATTCTTAGATTCTTAGATTCTTAGATTCTTAGATTCTTAGATTCTTAGATTCTTAGATTCTTAGATTCTTAGATTCTTAGCTTCTTAGATTCTTCGATTCTTACATTCTTAGATTCTTAGATTCTTAGATTCTTAGATTCTTAGATTCTCAGATTCTTAGATTCTTAGATTCTTAGATTCTTAGATTCTTAGATTCTTAGATTCTTAGATTCTTAGATTCTTAGATTCTTAGCATTCTTAGATTCCTAGACTCTTAGATTCTTAGATTCTTAGATTCTTAGATTCTTAGATTCTTAGATTCTTAGATTCTTAGATTCT